CATCTTCTTCAATCTTTGCTTGAATCATGAGCATATCCATTTCTTTGAAATACTCCTCAATCCCCTTGTTTCCTTGAGTAAGTTTTTGGAGTTTAAATTTCAAGTCCCTTGCATAACTAGCCGGCACATACCGCTTCCTCATGATCCTTTTCATCTCAGTCCATGTATCAACCATTGGCTTTTCATTTCTATCTCTCTCCTTTTGTAGCTTGTTCCACCAAACAAGAACATAGTCAGAAAATTCCGTTGTTGCAAGCCTCACCTTTTGGGTCTCCTCATAATTGTTGCATGAGAAAACATGCTTTATTTTCATCTCCCACTCCAAATATGCCTCCGGATCACTTTTTCCTTTGAACGGAGGAATGTTAAGCTTGACTCCTTCAAGTCTACTTGGTCTTGCTACTCCATCATTCATTCTCTTATTTCTCCTTTCTTCTTCTTCAGGATTTCTATTCTCCAACCGGTTCAATATTTCATGGAGTTCATTGTTATGTCGTATCATTAATCCTTCCAAATGTTGTACAAATACTCTCATTTCAAATGGACTAATTCCTGCTTCTTGATTGTAATTTTCCTCTTCTGCCATCAATTTGATATTTAAACCCTTAAATCGGGGCTCTGATACCAACTGATATGAATCACAAAGGGTAATTTAGGATCTTTAGGGTTAGAATCTTGTAAGAAATTTAGGAATTAGAAAGAAGGTGGAAGGAAATAATCACTCTTCCCAAGGGAGGCAACACACAAAGGATGTGAAAGTCCTTTGATACAGCCAAGAGTTTTTGAATTACCCAAGAATTTAGGAGAATCACTCTCACTAAGATAAAAAAGATAAACTCTAATATTTCTGAATAAAATTTCACTTGTTATTATTTCTTGATAAAAATGGTTCAGCTGATATAGAAGCGTTGTTATCAGAATTACAAAGACTCAGTAAAAGAAAATAAATAATAATAATAACTCATTAATCTAGGAATGGAAAACTATTTAATAGAAACAAATAAAGGTTAATAATGATCCATTAACCTAGGAATTGAAACTACTTAATAACTGATTGTATCTGAAACGGTGGCAACCAAAAGTCAATCAGCTATGCACCCCTTGGTCTCCCAAAGGCTGATGACTAAATTTTCAATTGGGTCCTTATTACAACTTAAAACAAAATTAAACTAAAGTCCATTAATTGATTAATTCAAAACATAATTTGGTCAACCAACAATATTTGTTAAAGTGCTTCTTTTATTTTCCTTGCTCTAGCTCTTATCATAGGTCATGTTCACATCAGGACTCATAAGGGACCGATGTAAAAGAGGTCTTTTACTCGTACCCATAAAAGAGTGACGTAAAAGAGGTCTTTTACGTCAGACTCTTATTGGTCCGACATAAAAGACATTTTTTACATTGCCCTTTTATGGGTCAAACATAAAAATCCCGCTCAATATTTACAAAATTACCATCGTGTTTTTTTTAGTCAATTAGTTTTATATCCAATAAGAATTAAGTGACGTAAAATGGTTTGTCTGCACTAGTGTGACGCAAATTTATTTTAATTAAAAGTCAATGCTTTTTTTTAATTCATGGTGAAAAGTTATTTTGTAATAATTTAGGTTATTGTTATTTTTCAACTTACACTAATAAGCTATTTATTTTTCAATATCAATCATATTAATAGGTTGATGTCAAATATATTTTTTTAGCGGTCAATTCGAATTATTTTCAATTGATATTAGTCTACTGTTATTTTTTTTAATTAAAGTCAATTAAAAAATAAATTAAAGTTAATTTTTTTACCAACGTTAATAATAATTGTTTTAGTGGATGTCAACCTTTTTTTATGGACGCGAGTGATAATATTTTTTTAACTACTATCAATAAAAATTTAGTCATTATGGTTTGTTTATATATATATATATAGAGAGAGAGAGAGAGAGAGAGAGATTATTTATCTATTGGTCTAGGTTAGAGATATTTTTATTCACCTTTATTAGAATTTCTTCTATCAAAATTAAAGGATATTTTAATAAACGTAACCCATATTTTTTTCCATTGAAATTTGTAGTAATTTTCTTTTATGATTGTAAATGCCATTTATTCTACCAATATCAATATCAATATTAATATTATTTTATTTTTTATGCTAATTGATATTGATATTAATATTATTATTAATAATAAAATTATTATTATTATTATTTGTGCTAATTTTTATATTTGACATTTTGATATTTGGTTATCATTAAAATATTTTATTAAAAAATAAACTTAAAATTTAATAAATTGAATTTCTTATAAAATATAATATTTAAAAAACTAAAACAATTTTAAATAAGAATAATTTTAATTTAACGTATTTAAATTTTAAAAAAATTATAATTTTTTTATAAAAAATATGTTATAACAAATTTAAAATATTATATGATAAAATATCTTCTTTAGATGTAAATATTTTAAATAAATTAAAATTTTATAAATTTATTATTAATAATTTGATTCCTTAAATTATAAAATATTTACTAACAAAATAAAAACTTGAAATTTCTTCTTCTTTTTTTCATAGTTTGAACCAAAACATTTATAGTCGAATAACTAGAATCAAATTAAAATAAGTACAAAATGGTTTGATTAAACTTGGTTTTCATCCTATTTCATCTTCATCTAGTGTTTCCTCATTTAAATTTAATAGTTATATTATAATTTTATTATATCTCTAAATTATTTTTTATATATCTTATTTTTTAGTTTATGTTTATAAATATTTATTTATATATTTTTAGTTAATTTGATAGTTTTATCCATAATTTTTTTTGTTCAAATATGATTTTTAGTTTTTTTATATCCTTATTTTTTATTTATAAATGTAACTTGATTTTTATCCTATGATATATATATATATATATATATATATATATATATATATATATATATATATAATCAAGTCCCATCTATTTATCACTCACCAATATTTTAAAATTCACTAATAAAGTTCTCTTCCTTTCACCTATTTTCCAAAGATTTTTTTAATTAATTTGAAGTTACATTATAAATAACTTAATTTTGTTTCTCAATTGATAAATTATGATTTAATATCTGTTAAGATTTACAGAACCTATTTGACTCAACCTTAAACCTATTTCATTGAGTTATTTATTGTTTCAATTTTACATAGATTAAATAGTATTTTATTAGTCAATTTATAATTAATTTAATCGATGTGATAATTTAATCCGAGTAATTAATACATTATATCATATTCCAATTTCAATTATAATTCTTTGTTATTATTGATGTTATTCTTTTCCTTTTAAAAAATTAAACTAAAGCCTAAATCAGATTTATTAAATATATTATACAATATAATTATGATTTTTTAAACTAATGAAAAATATAAGTTATAATATAACGTTTTTTACAGTAGTTTGAAAATAAATTTTAAACCTGAAAAAACGTTAAAGAAAATGCATAGTGAGAAAAAATAATTTTAAGTTTGTGATAGTGATGGGAACTTAGGAACAGCAAAGAATAGAATGATATAAGAAACCATAAAACTCCATTTTCCTTTTTATTTGTGTTGAAGGCTATATGTATGCAGTAACAAAGAAAAGGTTCTAAGGAGAGCCCTGGGTTGGGCCATCACCACTTAAGCAGCAACAAAGATTTTGAGAAGTGCAAACTCCACCAACTTTGTACCCAAAAAACAGACAATAGTCAAGGCAAGATTTTCTATCTGGACATTTTCCTCCTGAATGGCATATTACTGTCCCACACCCTGAAATCAATGCAATCTCATCACAAATTCCATGCAAAACTCAATTATCACAACCTTTTGTATTCATCATCCATCCAAAAAATTAAGTAAACTTAATACCTGATGTTATGAGAAGAGAAATGCATAGCAATCCCAAGAAAAAGTTTAGAGTCATGATTCTATTAGCCATTGTTCTACCAAGATTATCTTTGTTCTTCTCATGTTTTTTGACCTCAAAGTGTGTATTTATAAGACTATGATAATCTGGAAACGTTCTTGCATTTATTTCAAATTAAACAGCAAATACTAAACGCATCCCACACAGTTTTATTTTTGAAGATTTATTACTGTTTTTTTTTCTGTAATTTAATTTAAAATTAAATCGGATAAATCTCTACAATTTGATCTGAATCGGTTTTACCATTTTTATCAACACCGTCTTAATGTTATTTTCCAACTTGAATATTTCTTTCCTTATAGTTTTCCTGTGCATTAAAAGAAATATCAATTAAAAATTAATCAAACAATATATAGGATATTACAATTTAATTATTACTCAATTTATCATTTTCTTAAAATAGTAACAAAACTATTATGAGAATTTTTATAGATGATAAGCATATGAGAAACTTACCATTAATTACTAATTACAAAAGAAAAATAACTTACAAATAGTTAGACAATATTAATTGGATTTACCAATGTTAAGTTATATAAAAAAGGAGAAAATATGAAACGTGCAAAATGAATAAGTGATACGAAAAAGGAAACAAATTTACATTTTTTAAATAATTAATTAATTAAAGTAGATTAATTGTTTGATTATAAAGTTATGTATATATTTATTTTCGAAAGAGATTAAAAGAGATATATTGTTTGTTTTTTATTAAAAAGAGATATTTTTTATTTTTTATATTGTTCTGAATTGATTATTTTCTACTTTTATTTTTCTTTCAAATCAACCACCAGGTCCTTTATTTTTCTTTCAGATTTCAATCTTTAACATTCCAAAAAGTATTTTTCAGAAAAGGTTATTTGAAAAAAAAGTACAAAATAAAGGTATATTAGTAAAGTTGGGAGGTGTAAACAACAATTAACTTTGAATTTAAAGTTGAAGTATAGGCCCCAAATGCCACAAATGCCAAAACTAGCCCAGGAAAAAAAAAAAAAAACACAAGCGCTTTATCCGTTTCTCACATTGTTGTATGCTCCATGGTAATAGCTAAGGTTTGATCCTAGGAGGAAGGGGAAGACGATGAAAGGTTCATGTCTTCTTCCTTCGCACTCTTTCACCGGAATCAGGTTCTCTTTCTGCTCTTTCCCTTCATAAGTTGTGTTGTGTTAATGTGTTGCTTCTCCCAACTATGCTACTTCCGTTCCATCCCACTTCTTTTCTTCGCTAAAATAAATCACCTTAGGATAATAATTTCAACTTTATTGATTGAAACTTGTGCATTTTACTAACTCAAAACCTACCAATACTACGAAATGCATATGGTTCGGCGCATAAATTATTTTAATAATTTAGGTGCAGGTCTTCGGATAGGATGCATGAGTAAGTATACCACACTATTTTTAATGGTTTCTGCTCATCTTATCCTCATTGTTTTGTTGTATACTATTCATTTTAATGTACATATCTTATTACAGTAATTTGTGATGGCTTGGTTTAATTTATTCTGCTATCTATTATTAGGACAAGCAAAGAGTTTCCGCATATTCTGTCATTGTGTTACTTGAAAAGCATAACAGGCTTCTCAGTTTGTAATCAAAGGCAAAAATACAATGAAAAGCTTTACATTATTCCCATTCGGACTGCTTGTGTTCGGGTCTGCTTCTCAAGATCTTCAGTTGGGTCATTGGAATGTGGTGGGACAGGCCCACATAGTGATTCTTATTCAGGAATTTCAGCTCCAAATGACCTTCAGAGGTGGGAATTGGTTCAAATGATTTGTCCTTTTCCTTTCTTCTACCGCATATGCCTGTTGTATTTTGAAGTATTTCCATATTTCAATTTTGTGCCTTATTTTTCTTACCACTGTATTGAAATTTCATCCCTAAGGACAAAACATCTTGGTAGCTTAAATTGTTCATTCTCTAATTGACAATGTGCCTTGGCTTTGGAAATTTCACATTCTACAGCATTGGAAGTTTAGAAAGAGAGTTGGAAGAATTATTTGATGAAGTGAAAAGAATGATTAGGATGGGAAACAAAAATGATGCTAAAGACCTGCTAACTGCAAATTATGAAGCTGTGAAAGAGAGCATGAATGCGGGTACTAAAGGCATAGAAGAAGCTGCAATTTTGGACGTCATAGCACTAGGTTACATGGCTGTTGGAGACTTAAAATTTGTTGGATCTCTGTTGGATATGGTATTTTCCCGCTTTCCTTTTGTTCCTGTACATTCTTTTGTCATTTTCATATCTTGTATAATTGAGTAACTTAAATTATGTCTGCAATGCATGTGATTAGTTGAACTCTCAGAGTCTGCATGACTTTTTTACTGTTCTAGTGTAAGACATCAGCATATCAATTTATGAGGTCCTAATAGCACCAGATTGCACTATAATGAGATGAGGTGAAAGTACAATGAAGAAGTCAGTTGTCGTCTTTTTGTTTTGTTTTCTAACACGAGTTAATGAATTTGTTATGGTTTCTGGGGCTATAATGAATAAATGATCATTGCTAGGCAAAAATACGTGCAGTTAAATTATCTGCAATTACTCTTCTTGATTGATATTCTTGCATGAGGCCAAGTGCTTCCACTAGTCTGGTTAGTGGTAATAATTTTATGTTGGTATCACATGTTTGATTACCTTGTACTGAAATTGTTTCCTTTGTGTATGTCTAGCTTGTATATATCCATCTGAAAATTGCAAATAGTTATCCGTTCCACATGTCTGCTGAAATGCTAGTGTTGCATTTCCACACCTCTTTCTGTTGTATCCTTTTCTCTGTGGAGTGCATTCTTATATTTTCGTTGATAGCCAGATGAAAGAAGTTGTTGACAATTTGAAGGATGATGCACCTCGTCTGGATTCAATACTTATGCATATGGGAAGTATGTATGCAACATTGAACATGTTTGAAAAATCATTGGACACATATCAGAGGGCTGTCTACATTATGGAGAGGACCTACGGTGAGGACATTTTTCTGTTAGTGATAATATTTTTATTTAGTATTTGATTTTGTTTACCTATGGTGAAGGATGGTGACTGTGGTTATGTTGTGTTGCTTATCTGTTTAATTACAAATCTGGCGCTATTTTTTTGAGTTTTTCAGTTGTGCATGTCTAGTTAGAAGCTATTTTTAACTGTTTCACTCTCTAGATACCTCAGCAGAAATGAACCGTGATGCAGCCAACATTGCTTTTAAACTCACTTTTGCCAAAATTTTGATATTCTTAATAATATAATCTCTTCTTTTAGGTAAGGATAGTACTTTACTTGTCACACCCTGTTTGGGTATGGCAAAAGTTCTTGGCTCTTTTGGAAAAGCAACAAAAGCAGTAGAGATATATCAGCGTGTGGTCACTCTTTTGGAATCAAGTAGAGGTTCCCAAAGTAAGGATTTGGTTGTACCTTTACTTAGTCTGGGCAATCTTTTACTCAAAGAAGGGAGACCCAATGACGCTGAAACTCATTTTACTAGGTTAAGCTTCCTATATTTAGTTTCTCCTACCATATTCAGTGCATTATTGACTCTGCTTTCTTCTATATTACCTTTTTTTTTTTGGTTTCTAGAGTTCTCGACATACACACAAAATTATATGGACAAAATGATGGAAGAATTGGAATGGCAATGAGTTCCCTAGCCCGAGTTAAGAGTGCTCAAGGTAACTTTATAAACTTGCACATACAATTTATTAGTTCTTTGCATATTCCATTTATATTTATATCCCCTTTATTTTTCTTTCTTTCCTGGTTACACAATTAACTTAATGTTGATTAGAATTTTTTCATGTATGGTGGGTCCTGCAAAAGAATGATGGAATAAGCACCTAAATTCAAATTTATTTGATCTTAAGTTATATATGGACATTAGTTTGCTGATGCTATTGATATTCAGATGTTAACGGTGTTCACACACGGTCCCTTGTTTCTTTCTTCTTTTTTTCGGGGGGGAGGGGGAGTTGAAACCTAGGCACATATTGATGTGTAAGTATGATATATTTTGCAGGGAAATCAGATGAAGCAATCCAATTGTTTAGACGTGCTATTCAGGTCATGAAGGATTCAAATTACTTGTCACCAGATGACAGTATAATGGAAAAGATGAGAGTGGATCTAGCTGAATTGCTTCATGTCGCTGGGAGGTAAGCTTACCTATATCCTTGATTAAGAATGACAGGTTTCAAGTGTTTTTTGGCGTTTAAGAATAAAGTTTAACAAGTAACAACTTAGAATAAGTTTTTATAGGCACCCCTCTTCTCCCTAAAATAACCAAAAAATAAAAGGAAGGAAGGAAGAAAACAAAAGAAAAAAAAAGTAAGACTAAAACGTAAAAACATACTATGTTTTGAATTGAAGCTTTTTCTATTGTTTAATTCAAAGAGGGCAAGAAGGCAGAGAGCTATTAGAAGAGTGTCTGTGGATAACTGAGAGGCACAGAGGAAAGGAGCACCCCAGCCTGGTGACACACATGATAAACCTTGCAACTTCATATTCACGGTCAAAGAATTATGCAGATGCCGAACACCTGTTGAGAAGAAGTTTGCAAATCATGATAAAGCATAAGGGAACTGATGACCAGTCCATTAGCTTTCCTATGTTACACCTTGCAGTAACACTCTACCATTTAAAAAATGATGAAGAAGCAGAGAAACTTGCCCAGGAGGTTTTGCGCATCCGTGAGAAGGCCTTTGGAAAAAATTCCCTTCCTGTTGGTAAGCTTTCCCTTACTTCATTGAAAACCTGGTCAGGCTCAAATTAATATGATCAAGTTATTCATTATTCGGACCATTCAATTGTGCTGCATTTCAAAAATGACTGTAGTAATACAATTCTTGCACCAATGGGAAAAAAATTATCCTTAAGTTTCATATTTCTTATAATATGAAATTGATATTTTATCATATGTTATGCATTGCAGGGGAGGCTTTGGATTGTTTGGTGTCTATTCAAACCAGACTTGGTAAGGATGACAGAGAGTTACTCGAGCTGCTTAGAAGGATCCTGAATATCCAAGAGAGAGAATTTGGATATGAAAGTGAGGAGGTTTTGGTTACCCTAAAAAAAATTGTATACTACTTGGATAAACTAGGGAAAAAAGATGAAAAGCTGACCCTTCATAGAAGATTGTCTGTGCTTAGGAAGAAGTATAACCAAATGGTTAATTATTAAAGGAGTATTATGGGATGATTATGATTGTCATGTTTATCCTTACTTCAAGCTTTAAGTATTTCTGAAAGTGTTTTCCAAACGTTGCTTTCCAGTGAGGGGAACGTATACGTATGCCTAATGCCTTGAGTGCTACTTTTTGGAGCTTAATCAACCTTCATAAGGCTCACGGTGGGATTTAGTCTTGTCAATTCGGAATCTCCTTAAGAGTTTAACTGAGTGTAAGTGTGAAGCAATTTTACGCCATAATCTCAACATAATTTATTATCTAATATCGAGAGAAATGGATAGATATCATAATTTGTAAATTAAAAACTGAATTTTTTTTCTGTTATTTTATTTGATGCAATTTTATGTTTTTTTATTGATGTTTTGTAATAATTTTATTTTATATATAATTATATGTATATGTAAAATAAAATCATCAATACTAACAAAATTAATATAAAAATATCAATAAAAGACATGAAATACAAAGTCATAAAAAAGAAAAAAAAATGTTTTAAGAATTTTGTTAATTGTATTTTATATGCCATGTATCTATTTTCTTTAATATTTAGTTATAAATTATAAATGATATAATTTATTAAGTAATTAATATAAAATTATTAAATTTATTATACATGATAGTTTGTTACTAAATGACATAATAAAAATATTTTAAACTAATGCATAACTTTTTTTCTTAGAATGAAAAGGTTAATCATTAGACAAAATTCAGAATTTTGTTTTTCTTTTATCAATTTACTTTTATTCTAAGAAATAGTAAATAATATAGTGAAATTAAAAAAAATAAGGAGAAAGTAAATATGAAATAAGTTATGTACGTAGATTCTTACACAGGATATGTAATTAAACGAGAAGATTTTATCATATAAATCCTCTTAAATAAATATTAATATAAAATAATTCACAAATAGATATATTTAATTATTCAGTTATAAATAAAATAATCTCATGTTATTATAATAATAAATATCAATTAAATAAATATAACTTGCTATCTAAAATTATCTAAATAGTTTCAATGTCATAAAATTGGATAATCATTCCAAATGAAGTTATTACCCCATATATCTACCACTATTAATCGGAACATTGAAAGAGAGAGAAGTGAGAAAATCCCGAGTGGAAGTTAACCTACACGTGTGGGTGGTACCATTTTCTGAGAAGGGAATTAAAGCATAACTTTTCTCTCACTCCATCCAAAGCAGAAATAAGAAAAAAGTAACGGCATAAATAAATGTTGTATATTTAAAGAGATAAAGTATTTAATGCCTTAAAATATAAAATATTATTAAATATTACCATAAAAATAATTAAAATTGTTTAGAAGATATTTCAAAGAAGAGTGACAAGGTGGGGTTGCTGCGTAGGTGTCACCGTTAGAAGCCTTTCCAAGCTTAGTTGTGAACGATGGTGACACAGTTTCCGAGAATCTGGACGCTTGGACGCAAAACAGAATAAAGAATTTATAAAAAGAAAATTAGGTTTTCTATTTTATTTATTATTTTAAAATCATTAACAAAATTAAGAAATAGCAAATATGTTTTTTTATGGCACACCAATTGATGTTAGAGACAGAGTAGAGTAGAAGGATGAGGGACAATAATTCAGAAAGCATGGGAACAAAGGAGATAGATATTTGGGAGCATGTGTGAGTAACACAATTATTGATACTCTTTTTTTTTTTTCTTTTTTTTTTTCTTTCTTTCTTTCTTTGACATGGGTGTCAATAAAAGGACCATGTTTTCACATTACCATTACTCACTAGCATATGCCAAACACGCACTCTCGCTTGGACAGGTGTACAAGCAAAGTCTCAGACATGTTTCGGTGTTACAAGGAAGTTCATTTCAGATGATAACCAAGGCAAGTTCTCTCTTTTTCTCTGTGTCCTTTAATTAGTTAACTGAATATTCTTGCCCTTGCTTCTTTGGGATCTCATGTCTCTTTCTTGTTCACCTGTTGAATAATGATGATTCTGTTTTGCTGAACTTGAATAACCTTTGTAGTTTGTACTGTCAAGTGTCGCTGCACCTTTTATATTGTTTTGTTGGGATTTATGCCAAATAGATCTTCTTTGTTTCCCTTTTTATGATGTTCGATAGTTGGGGTGTGTAACTGGCAAGAGCATTCATGGAAGTTGAGATGTATTTGATGTTCTATCCGAGACATTCACTTCTTCCTGAATCTCTAAGCCGAATTTTGCACACCCAAAATCCACGTTTTTTAACCACCCAAAGTTTTTTTTTTCTTTTTACTGTTGCATTGGTTATATTACTCATCAAAAGATATTTATTGATTTTGGGTTTTCATGACTCCAGTCCATGGTGCGTTGACAATTAGTTTTTCATCATTAAGTTCTTGCAATTTAGGTCTTCCTGGGAACAAACGGCAAAGAAAGTTGCTCCTGTTGGATTTCTTCTCTTCTATTAAAAGAAATTTTAGTTGAGTCATTGACTTTTTGGTCTTCGTGCATTCCTGCTTGGCTCTTGTTTGGATGATGTTCTCTGTCTGTTAATGGTAGGGAAATTGAAATATGATTTATAATCAACGGTCTAAAATGATTCTTGTGGGGATTTTGGCAACAATTGTTAGAGCTGGTGGGCTTTCGTTTCCTGTGTTCCTTTTGCTTTCACATACCTTGTCAGCTAAATTGAAAGATTGGTAATTTGTTGGTCTCGTACTGTATATATTTAACATTTCATTGAGATTTTAGTTTGCAACCTACCAAGGTTGTATGTAATAGTGTAATGTTTTGTGTTTGTGTCTTTCTGAATCTACAGATGCCGGATCCTCCAAAAGTTGCGTATTAAAACAGGTCATTATTCGTAGACTAGTAAGTGATGGCGGCAGCAGAAGGGAAGGCACCTTGTACTGCTAAATGTTTTACTCAAGATTTCCGGATTCCCATGAATACTTTGGATCATCCTTCACTGGTTTCAAACAAATTAGTATCTGATTGGGTTCCTTGTGATTCTACTAATGACCACATTCATGCCAATTCATTTTGCATGCCCCGTGATCTGAATTCTGATAAGCTACCAGAAATGAAATGGTGGCTACATGTGAAAAGTGATTTGGGTGACGAAACAAATTATACATGTCAACATCTGAATTCCTACGAGTCTGAATTTGGTGCCTTCTATGCTGAATTTCTTAATGGAAATGTCAAGAGTGGGTCAGATCAATTGATCAAAGATTTTGACACTCTGTCTGATCTGGAAAGTGTTAATTTATCTGTAGAGCACCCAGGGCATGTCTCTCCTAGATTTATGAAAAACAATAATAGCAGAATGCCAAAAATTGAGGCTTCACTGAATACTGATTTACATTTTACTCCTAAGAAGAAAGATCAGGGGGAGCTTTGTTTTTCAGACAGTCATTTTATGGATTGTGATATTTCCAATTTCTTAGTCTCTGAACAAGGTAAAATGACATCATCTGATCTAGAATCACATTTGATGGGAGCAGAGGAAACTGGGCCTTGGTGGCGCACTGCTGGAAAAGATGAGTTGGCTTCTTTGGTTGCACGGAAGTCACTTGAGCATATTGAGAATTGTGATCTCCCTCATCCCCAGACTAAGCATGCTAGTCAGGGACCCCCCTATCAAAAGGTTGTTGACCATGACAAGACTCCACCATCATCTTTGAATCATAAAACTTCCGGCTCTTGCAATGCAGATGGTTATACAACTGGAATATCCACTCCTGACTGTTCATTTCAGGATTCAAACAAGTATTCCTGGTAATGCGTAGAGGCATACTTTACAATTCTTTTAATTGTTTTCTGCAATCTTTGCCATGATGGTCAGTTTATTTTGTAAGAAATTTGATGTTTTCTCATGTTTAAAATATTGAACTTCCTAATTAGCTATTAAGTTTGACTAGGGTTTAAGGGTTGTTATTTATAGATGCTAACTACATAGAGCTACCCCGTATGTATGCGGTTTCCAATGCTATTTATTGGAGACTTAAGCTAGCTATCGGTTCCAAACCTTACATTTTTCATACGAGATACTACACATTTCTATATATATATATATATATATATATATATATATATATATATATATATATATATATATATATCAGATTGCGATCTTCAAGTATTATGAAGATGCCTCCTCATAATTACTAATGTGGACAGGCTTTAGAATTTTTTTGGTTTCTGACAGATGTTTGGCCCTGACTACTTGCCCTTACCGGTTTAAAAGTACCTTTAGTTATCCATCTCATGCTAACAGGGATTTTGGTGATGTACAAATTTAACTGAATTTAAACCTGCTTTTGTATCTAATGAGGAAAATAGTTGTATGAATCTAAAGAAGTACCAACATGTAGGAAATAAAATAATTTATGAATTTAATTCACCAAAAAAAGCATTGATGGTTTTTCTAAGCTTTTAGAAATATATGTGAATGTTTCCTACTCTCTTTTCAAGCTATATTTCGATCCCTGGAAAGATATGTTTTTCCTTGTGACATTGTGATCCCCCCGCTCCTTTTTTCTGCTTTTACAATATTTGCTTTGTCATTGACACATACCAGCTGATTTTTAACCATGGGCCTTTGAAATCACCCTAGTTTCAGTTACAAACCTTTATGCTGCATTTTTTGTGCCATCATCTTAAATAGTGTATATATTTTATCATGTTTTAAACATATGTATGGCTTGTTAGCTTTGATTATATTGAAGTCATAAATTGTAGATAATTCTGTAGTTGACATACACTCGCAAAATTGAACATTTAAGATACAATGATAGATTATAATTGTTCTACTAGATATATTGAATTCATGATTCATGAAACACGGTTTCATTCATTAATAAATAAGAATTTAGGTAGCATACTAAACACACACGAGGTGACTTTTATTGAAAATTTTTGCTTGCACATTTTATACTGAGTTGAAACTTCATGATTATTTTTTATTATTTTATTAATAAACTATGCTCCATATGTTCAGCTCCAGCCAGAGCACAGATTCTAGTTCAAGCAACAAAGGTTGCGAAATAAATTCTGAGAACAGTAGCATGTCGGAGCTGTTGAAAGCTTTGTGTTACTCTCAAACAAGAGCAAGAGAGGCTGAGAAAGCAGCACAGCGAGCTTACAGCGAAAAGGAGCACATCCTGAGTCTCTTTTTTCGACAGGCTTCACAGTTATTTGCTTACAAGCAGTGGCTCCACATGCTGCAGCTGGAGAACCTCTGCCTGCAACTCCGAAACAAAAACCAATCATTGCTAAATCTCTTTCCAGCATCCTTACCCTGGGCCCCATGCAGCGGAATGCTGCTCAAGAAGAATCATGGTATGGCTGGGAAGCGGAAGAATAGTAACAGAAGATGTGGGATTACAAAGTGTGTTGTTGCTTTTGTCGTGGGAATAGGCCTTGCTGGTGCTGGTTTGCTTCTTGGTTGGACCATGGGATGGATGTTTCCTCCGTTATAAAGGACATCTTAGTTCAGACATTGACTAACATTAATGGCATGCTTCTGCTATGTTTTTCTGGAATTTGAGTTCTGTTTACTGATAAGATTCACAGGAGTGTATATAAGATATTATCCATGGTTTCCATGCCATCATTTGTGAATATTCCTCATACATTTGAGACATTAGTTGTATATATTTATGAACATATAGTGTAGAAAGATCCACGTCCACCTATTGGGAAAAGGGTTAGTCGTGGTTGTAGTGCAGAAAGAATACGTTTAGTGGTTTTGTATATTGTTTGCTTTTAAGTATCAAATGTATTTTAGTTACTTGAAGTATGCAAACGGTCATAACAGGTAGGATTTGCTGCAAGTACGTGGGTCAGAGATGGCTGTCATTGCCATATTAGGTACTCCATCTGTTCATCTCGCACTTTGTTTTGTATCTCTTCACCCTTTAACTCCTATTCTTCTTCAATGTTTTCTTATATGTACAAGTAAAATTTGCTTGTTATTGCATCCGAGCTTCGAAACTTTAGATAAGCACTTAGAAAACACCAATGTTCTTTTGGTAATGATAGTGTTGTTAGAGGGGTTTGATTGTACTTTCTGCAACTCACATCAGCACCGATGGTATTATGTAACACATACTACCACGACACGTTATAAATTCTAATGGGGTACGGAAAGATTTGCCATGTAGCCATGAAAGTCTCCCATGTCAATATTTGTGAAGATTATTATTTTGAGAAAATCTTCTTTGAAAACTTATCTGTAAAAGGATAATTAGTTAGAACAATTTTGTACTCAATAACTAAAATGACAATTACATGACCTCGAAATGGATAGTAGATATGAAGGAATGCTTTCATTGTAAATGGATATGCAACCTTGCCATTGATTAGTAGGTAATTAATCTGGAGATTCGAAACTTTCAAAAGCTACACTTGTTATTTCTCAACTAGTTTCTGATCCTGTTCAATGCTTGCAATTGCGATCCAACGAAGTGAGCGATGCATGATTATGTTTAATGGACGGTTTTTACTATTCTCATGAATTCCCTTTCTTGTTTAACTGAAAAAAAAAATTGTTATTTTCTTTTAGAAAAGTTCATATGAAAATATTATACAAATTCACTTATTTATACAGCCAAATATACTGCGATTTATACATAAAATTGTTTTTCATATAAAACAGGGAGTCAAGACTTGCAATGAAAAAGTTAGAAAATCGTGGCGAGAAAAAGTAAAGAAATTTAACTTTTATTTAGGACCAATTAGGTCTCTTATATCTTAAATTTATTTATAAATATTTTTATGTTTTAATTATTATTATTATTATTATAATAAATAATTAAATAAAAAATATTAAAATAAAAAATAAATTTATTTAAAATTAATAAAATAAGATGTATATTAATTATATTATTTTTTATTTCTTATAATATTTTCACTCATTCCTTGTTTTATCTCATTTTTTATTATATTTCTCTCTTTTTTCATTTCCTCAAATTCACTCTTCAATCCAGACACATCATAAAACACTTGTTAAACAATTCTGATTAGGAAAAACTCTAATTTATTTTTATTTAATAGATACACATGGATTATTCTTTTATTTTCATTTTTTTCTTCAAAAGTTTAGGATAAGTTTATCTTAAAAAACACTGTACCTAATTAACAATGGACGTATTGAAACAGAGTTATAACTGTATTCATGGGCCCAAAAACCATTGTTTAAATGCAACTTCTCTTGTCAGTTGAGCTAAATGAAAGTTGTGAAACATTGTTTGGTGGAAACATTATTTTAAAATAACGATAATTCCTAGATGCATTTATTTAGGAGGAAAATGGCAGTAGGTTTTAAGTAGTTGCCAGTAACTACGAATCTGAATTGATGTGCATCCACTTTAGTTGCAAGAAATTATGAGCAGTGACAAGGACATTGACATTTTTTTTTTCACTTTTTTAATAATATATAAGAGATAGAAACAAATATAAAAATCCATTAAATTGCATTTAACATACCCAAGATTAGTTGTCACAGTGAAAATAATTGACCCCCCAACTTTCCTGTGTGTTGGAGGTTTCCTTAGAGAAACAAAAGAAACAAAATATATACACTCAACATTACACGTTCTAGATGAAGGACTATAAATCAAATTTCCATTCTTTTTTTGCTTACACCTTGGTTTTGTTTCCATCATCAGGCATGCATAAACAATTGGTGGGTAACACAACAGTCATAATATACCTTGAACTTCAACTAGCTACAAAAAAGAAAAGATAAATGATGCCAACTTTACTTGATTATATAACAACATTCATTGTTAAAAATAAAGCTTGAACTATTACACTATCCACACATCATAATTTTGGGTGCTTAGTTACACAAAGTAAAACAAGGATAAAGGAAAGTTACCCGTATAAATGTTCATTTTAAACGACAAAGTGCAGCCTATCAAACTAGCAAGCAAAATTTGACTTGTTTCCAAGATTCTATGACATATTTCCCTTGCTTTCTGTAGGTTCTACTGTATCAGTACTCGTCCAAGTATGTATATAGCATGTCATCCTTCTTAGACTTGCGCCTGCTTAGCAAGGCCTTCAGGAGACGTTTACTCTTACTGGGGTACTGCTCTACATCTTTGCCAGGGTCTTTTTCAGCATATAATCGCATTGAAGATGATTTGCGTGGTTCTGAAGGGTACTGGTGAAAGAGTAAACACAGACTGTTAGAGAAAACTACTGAATTATTGGTGATATACTGAGCAAACAACCATGATTTATGTTTACTCACCCTTTGTCTTGCATTTGAAGGATTTGGTGTGGTGGGTCTGCTTGGATTTGGAGTGGTTGGTCTACTTATCTTGGGTGTAGTAGGCCGACTTGACCGAGATCCAGTGCGGAGAAGGGGGAATCGGTACGGTGAAACCGATCGCCTCTCTTCAGTGCATGCAACAAGATTGTAAATACAAATGTAGTGAGACTTATATCTTCATCTTTCACGTGAAAATGAGAAAGAAATACAAGGAACCAATCTGGAAGACATTAGTCATAATAAAAAGAATTCAAGAATCAAGATATCTTAGTAATGTGGATACAACCTAAATCTTTTTTAGGCATGTTTGAAGAAGAAGTGAATGAAAAAGCTCCGGATCTCTGAGGTTGTAAAGAAGGTGACGGGGAACGCCCTCTTCTGCATAAAAATAAAGAATTACATCAGGATCCTAATTGTGACAATGACCAATTTAATTCTATGATAAGATGTGGAATTTGTGGTTACCTAGCTGTAGATGGTGGTGTTTCTCTAATTGTAGCTCGAACAGCTTTGGGATACGACCGCAATAATAGGAATATGAGCTTATATCAAATGTTAATTTAATCCCTAGACATGTGGAACAAAAATATAAGGGTACAAGGAGATACCATTCCTAAACTGAGGCCAATCATCTTCGTCATCTAGGTTGTAACCCTCATATTTTGACTTTGTGCGGTTAGCACCATCCATGGTCTCCCCAACTGAACTTGTGAATTTATGGAATGTGAATATGTAATCATTCAACATCATAAACATACTTCGCAATAGTAAAAGGAACAGAGTAAAATAGAAATGGAAAAAGGAACCAGCACCATAAGACGGAAGAGAAGAGGAAAATGCAAGATACACTTGCCTGGCAGAATATAACGCTTGTGATATTTTGGAGTACTGATCACCAGTGACTGTTGGGTACGCCCCTCATGATCCATATAATCTTGGCACGTCTTTATTCTCTGTTGTATCACATTAGGGAAACGCATTGTTAGTGATCTTCATAAAAATTTCTCTTCACTGATATGATAATAATTCAAGCTTCAATAATATCAACGAGGGGCAATGTTCAAAGTCACAGCTGCAGATGCAAAATAGTAATGTCCACGCTTTTTCAAGATTTATTGAGTAATGAAAGCAGGGTTCCATTTTTAAAATCAAACATGGAACCAACATTTGTTGGAATATCTTCTTTCTGTTTTAGCAAATAGAACCCACCCATCAAGTTCATTTAAAAGTAAACAAAACCTAACTGAGTTTCACAATTAAGACCTACAACTGTTCTGAGATTGCTGAAATCGCACTTTCAATTTGGATAATTGAACAAAAGTATTCAATTAGTGTATATACAGATACTCTTAGAAGAAGTTTCTCTGACAGATACAACTCTGAGCACCAAGCAATAAAGACAATTAGATAACTGGATATTTTATAAATGTCCCGGAGTTTAGCATTGAAAAATGAAGAGCTATACATGGAATAGTTTTTAGAAAGCCTTCGCAAAATTAATTCTCAGCATCGCATGCAATAAAGATCAGTTTTTCATATCTCAAGAAATTATATGACTAATAGGTCGTGTTGCCCATTCAATATATGATAGTGGTATCATTTTTTCATCTAAGAAATTAATTTAAACATTACTTTAGCGGACTTTCTATATCCGAAGCTAGATGGAGATAATTAGGTATACGTATACCTGTTCAATGCAAGATACTCTTAGCTCTGCTACAGAAACTTCAACGACCTTTTCATCCAACAGATCATTTACTTTGTAGGTCACAGACCCTAAATGGTCCACTGTATTTACAAGAGCTTTGATAGCATAATCCTTCAATGTTTCTACCACTCTGCAAAAATAGGATAGAAAGAGAAAGCAACAATAAAGAGAGGATTTTAAGGATATGGCAGTATCAGCAAAAATATAGAGCAGCTCTAGCCAAGCAACTCACATTTGTTTTTGGTCATCGTTGGTGTACGAGAGTTCAAAATATTCAGCTGCTGAATACAATTGTGCTCTCAGATTCTTCAAATCCTAGGAACAGAGATGCAACAATAGAAACAAATAGGAAACACTTTAATCCCAATTAATTAAGAAGAATATTCTAAATTTAAAGTCAAGGATGAATTAGACCATGATCTTAAGTACTAACAAACAAGGCCTCTTGAATCAAAGAGCTATCATAAAAAAGGAAACCAGTGTCCCCAACTAAACAGCAAGTACAAAATCATAAGTACCTTCAGACTATCATCGAAGAGCAAGCTCTGCTGCATAAAAACCTCATCATAATTGGAAGCTTCTTGAGAAACAGGCTGGGTTGCAGAAGTTGTGACCTTCCCCATAAATGAAAGTAAAGGAAGAAGGACCACCTAATCCATGAAGGAAAGATTACAAAACAAAAAACAATAGCAACTTCCAAGTCAAGTTGCGAGAGTGAAGAGGGTAAAAAAGAAAGGTGTTTCCAAAGAAAAACATAAACGGATCAAAACCAAAATCCGAAACACCTTTTAGACCAAGACAGTGAAAGCTAAAAGCCCTTGATAAAATACGCAATGCAACAATCGAAGTTGAGAAGACAGATAAAGAAGGAGACAGCCTCTTCAGCAACAACTAATAAGATAACAAAAGCTGATTATCTTACAAAGCATATAGTTGTCTAAAATAGTATACATCAGTAATCATATAAAGTACAACTCCCTGAGACAATTTTGAAACAACAAAAGAGAAAAAATTAAACTTAAAAGCAAAATTCCACAGTTTTTGCCGAATCTTCTGCAACACTCACATTTTATTAAAATCTAAACAAATAAACCCTCAAAAGCAAACCCCACCCAAACCTTAAAAACATCGAAAGTTGCCAAATTGCCAACAAACAAGTCCAAAACAATAAGGAAGCAAACATGGGTAAGTGAAGGTGGTTACTTTTCAAACCTCAATCAATTAACCCTTCTCCTAACAGCTCCCAAAAACCAATTGCAAGAAACCAAGTTGCTTACTTTAAGCAGTTAAGAAAACAAACCGGATAGTGGGAATAAAGAAACCAACCTTGCAACCCTTTTCAACTAGTTTCTTGGTGCTATTATAGTGGTCAAGAGGGGCATGGAAAGTGAAAGTTTGAAAACGCAGTTGCCATTGGAAACCAAATGTCAAAGAAAAAACACTGTGTGATGCCCCTTCACTACAGCACTCACACCAAAACGGTTAGGTGTTGGATTTTTGACCGAAGAAAAGGAATGAGACAGGTCAAGTTTTGCAACATGTACAGTTGGAGAGCAGAGGAAGGAGGGAGGCAGAGGAGAGCACGTCGGAACATTGGCTGAGGAATCCACGGAATTTTTAATTTGGTTTTTAATTGTATATCATTCCCTAATATTTAAAAAATCAATTTTTAAAAAGAAAATGGAAGGGGAAAAGAAAAATGAGTCCTTGCTGCTTTGGGAAGCAGAAACTGACCAAGGCAACCCCACCTCGCATCATTGTCATTTGATGGCCCCAATTTGTTTTTTAAATTTCCTTTTGTTTTTTCTCTTTAATTTTGGAAGGGCGTGTTTGGTTTTTCATAAAGAGTAACAAGTAAACACAATGTTTTACTTTTATCTTTGCGGGTTTTCTGACTTGTATTTGTTCAAAGTGGATGACGTAAGTGACAGGAATAATGTAAAATTTAACATATACCATTGTTTGTTGCAAAGCATTCTAAAAAGAACTATTTTTTTACTTAGACTAATATGACTCATTGTATCCTTGAGAGCTTCACATTCTAAATATTGTTTTTAATCCTAAAAATTTATTTTTTTATCATGTTTGATGGGTGAAGGATTTGACAAATTTATGGTTGACTGTTTTTAATTTTCTTTTAAAACTTTCTTTCTACATTTTTCTACCCTAATTTATTTTCTACTCATTTATTGTTTGTTTATGCAGAGGGACAGGACAGTGATCCAGTGTTATCAGCTGTCCTCTTTCACTGTTCCACCGCCGCACTCTTTTCTGTTACATGCAATTATATATACATAAAATACATCTTATTAATTATTTCTAATTACAAGAAAAAATATAAAATAAAATGAATTTTATGCTTTTTACAATAACTGTTTTCGATAGATCTTTTATTTTAAAAATGTTATAAATATGTTTTTATTTATTATAAAAGTTGTATTTTTTTACTAAATATACATAATTTAAATATTTTATTTTTGCTTTCACAAAAAATATACTTTAACGGTTGGAGGACTGAAATAAAACTGCGATAGTTGAATTGAAATATATTTTTAATGGTTTTTCTAATGATAATTTTGAAGCATTATATATTATTTATATAATAATAATATTTAATAGTTTTATTAATGTCTAACTATAAATTGATTAAAATATTTATATAATTTAAATTCGTTCAATGTTCTTCATTTCATAAAATTAAAAATTAAAATTTAGAGAATGTAAATATACGAATAGTTTTCAAATAACAATATTAAATAAAAATAATATAATTAAATTTTACTCATATATATATATGAAAAATTAAATTACCAGTCTTATTTAATGATGTTATAAAAATTATAGCACTTTCCATCAAATCGTTTAAACGTAGTTCAGAGCACTCTAATGTATTGTTTATTTATACTCAAATCAGTCTTATTTTTAAGGTAAATATATATTTATTAATACAATTATATGTTTAATTAGGGATTAAATTTCAAGCTTCAGTTAAAAAAACTCAAATACCAAATCACTTATTCTAATTAATTTTGATTTTTAAGTGGGAATTTTAATTTAAGAGGTAAACTTTTTTTTCCTCTGAAACATTAATTCGAAAGTCGTGTTAATAAGAGTTTAATTTTGATGTATTTTTAAGCAACCAATTAATTATATATTATTGCAGAAATTTCTTTAGACATAATGTAATCCTATATCTTAAATTAAAATATGTGATTCAGAGACCATTTTTTTTCCTATTACACATTCCTTCTGCCGTTAATTTTTTTTTTTATGTGTATTTAATATTCTAATTATCTATCTCCTAAAATTCGTATTTATTTATAATTTATTTTCTGAACAAACTTGTCACTGTTTAAAACAATCTTATATCAGGATTTAAATATTCTAATTATATTTATTCTCCATTTCATTTCTTACGTCTCTTCCTTCCATTTTTATTTTTATAGTTCTTTATCTAAACCCTAAATAATATTAACTAATATAAAAATAATTTATTTGATTATCTTCATAAAGTTTGTGGATTTCATAATTGGCTGCGTGATTTATGGGAATTAGATGGGTCTGCAAAAGCTGCGTGATTTATGGAAATAGAGGGGTCCACCAGCAAATAACACTTTTTTTTTGTCTTGCCCAACTTGGTTTAAGCTCAAGAAGAAAAAACCCTCACTCAAACGTATTAACGGGACAAAAGCCCGAGCAAAACAACTGGGCCTAGATTTGGGTTCATTGACGTTGATTGAGCCCATGAACCAAAGACGTTTTCATTCCATCGGTAGAAAAAAAAATGGTAGAACCAAACAACACTTTGTTATAAGTATTTTTCTTTTGGAGTCGCTAGTTTAAAAAATATTTTTAAAATATTGAATACTTTTCTTTATATTATAACATTAATATGTTATATTAATATTTTATTTATTTTGAATAAGAAATTATTTCATTTCATATCCAACATTTCAGACTATGCGGAAAACTATGTTTTTATGAGTAAGATTAAAATACATTTTGCGTGTTATTTTATGATTTAATGTGCTAAATTTTTATGATATCTTATTTAATGTACTATGTTTAATAATGATTTAAGATACTAAAAATATTTTTCATCTTATAAGTGTTTAACTTATAATTATTTAATGATATTCTCTCTCACATAATTAATTTATGGGATAAGTATAAAACAATTTTAAATTAAAAATTAAATTATAATTATTACATTAAGAAAAAGTAAATAACAGTTTATTTGAAATCTATAACAAAAAAATAAAGTAAACAAAAAAAATTTTTTTTTAATACTCATCTCATTTTCAACCCATTTTTTATATTTTCTTTATTTTGTTAGAAAATAATACATTAACAATTCTTGTAGTAGATAATAATTATTATTGTGTTAATTAAATAATAATAATAATTATTATTATTAATATTATTATTATTAGTAGACATTATTTCATTATAAAAGAGTTAGTCCAAGAAGTTACGAAGTAATGATTTAGAAAATTTCCTTATTATTATTTTATTTTTTTATCTTCATCCCTGAAATACCCAAAACCAGTGGTTGAAATATCATGACGACACTGCACTACATTTATTTTCTTCATGCGTTATTTTCATTTTGATTATAAAAGTTTTCATGAGTTACTTTAGGAACAGCTATGCATATAGCAGCATTTCCTAAAACATTAATTGTTGACAAGATATGTATGGAAAGACACGCTTTCATCCCTCACTCACTCATACAAACAAAGCAACAATCACAAACTTTCCACCACTACCATTCTTACTTGTATACTACTCTAAATATTGATTTTCTTTTTTTCAGTAATTAATTATTACAAAGATTAATTCAAAAGAAAAAATTGGTTTAACATTTTGAACTGTCACTGTTATTATTAGTAATGACATTGTTAATTTGTGATTAAATTGAGGTATGACAAGAAGGGAGAAGCAGAAGTTGATGTGCAATTATTGACATCACAGCATGCAGATGTATGCGTGAGTGAGAATGGATGAATAAGCCTAGTTCTGATAACTTATTAATTAGTAATTACGTCTTAATGTAAACTCAAATGAACATGATTATGATGTTTATAAACTTGCCATATTCAATGTCTCCACAGTTGAATGGAACAACACTTCTTCTGAAAATTGTAACCCCCCTCTTTTCCCAAACCACACATCACCTCACACACATATAAATACTCTCATTTTCCGCATTCTGTTTAGTCCTTCCATACCCATTTCGCATTCTTTCTCTTTCACTCTGATATGGACTTTGTCTCCGAACATGATTTTCCCAATCTTGAGATCATTCCTCATACCTTCAACTCATGCTTTTTCTCTGCTCAACTATACCCCACAGACAAGTAAGCTTTTCTTTCTTCACTGTCTTTTGCTTAGTATTATTCCTATGGAACAGTTTCTCGTGACATTCGAGGTTGATTGGAACTTTCTTTGTTTTTTTTGTCTTATATGATATGTACTATATTGGTTTTTTTTTTTTTGTTCATGTGTGTGGATGAGTGTTTTTTTTTAATGGTGTATGTGACTTCAGAATGATGGAGGTTTCACTCTCACCGTTAGAGGGTTTTTCCGACCACGATTGGACACAGCAGTTGCCATATTCAAGCAAACAACTTTGCTTGGATGAGTTCCCAGATTTGGAAAACCTGGACCTCGATTTTAGCCTCCCACCTCTGGGTGAAGATTTGGAGGAGGTGGACCAGAAGCCCTTGAACTTTATTGTTGTTCCCGAAGGGGGTCGTTGCAACCGCGGGAAGGGTTTTGGGGATTCTTTATTGGCGATTGAAAATGGGTCTGCTATTTGCGTGAAGACAGAGGAGGGGGTAGAGAATATTGAGCAGATGGCAGTGCCTAGTGCTAGTAGTAGCAGTAAGAAGAAGAGGCCATGTGCTTTGGAATTTGAGGAGATAAAGAAGCATTTTGACGTTCCCATTAATGAAGCTGCGAAGCAAATGAATGTGGGGTTAACCATGTTGAAGAAAAGGTGCAGGGAGCTAAATATCATGAGGTGGCCCCATAGGAAACTCAAGAGCTTGCAATTACTCATCGACAATGTTAAGGTAATGTGCCTAGACATACCATGTCCTTTGAGTATATCTCTAACATTTAATGAACATCAACTTAACCAACATTCTTTTTCAGTTACCTTATTTCCCATGTCTTAATTAGTCAAGTAGTAAACAATTTTGCTTTTACTGCTGAGAAATTCAGAGCTTACAATTAATATTGTAGGAGTAGGACCCCACGCGGAATCATAATTAAGAACTTTGTAGTTTGTACTGCTCTGTGATAGTTTGTGCCCCTTAAAAGGGCAGTGAAGGTGACAAGAAAAACCAACTTGAAGACTAACTAACCATTAATTTTATTATTATCCAGTGTTTAATGGTTGAAGTGGCTGGTATGTGGTGCAGGAATTGGGTTTGGCAGACAAGGTTCCCATGTTGGAGAAGCATAAAAGGTTGTTGGAAAAATTGCCAGGACTGGATATAAGTGCAAAAGCCAAGAAGCTGAGGCAAGCTTGTTTCAAAGCTAATTACAAGAGAAGAAGGTGTATGGGTATGGCACTCCAAGCTTGACCCTGGTGGTTATTGCCTGGGATTCGTGGATGAACATAAAAGGAATAGGAGTATATAGAAATTTGAAACATTATATAAAATAGGATGGTGAAGGACTCTACTAGGTAGCATAGGTTCATATTGTGAATTAGGAAACTGATTTGACTTCACAACACATGTTATTTCGTGTGATTTCAGTGGGAGTAGAATGTTGATGAACTCTTAACCTGGTGTCTTTTAATACTTACTTTTGGAACCTATGATCTGAGATGTTATTCTGAAGTATTTCTGTCCATTAATTGGTACCATTATTATATGCTTTATTCTTCTAAAACTAACCAGAAACGGGTTAAAACTATTAACTGGTTTGTCTACCCAAAGTAACTGAGGCAAGACTGGTTTATTTAACCAACCATAACGTAATTTTGAACATCTGTTGTGATCCTCTCAGCCAAAATGTCTGCTTTTAAGATAGTATTTTATAGATACATTTTCTTAATCTACAAATTTAATTTTTAAGGGCAAAATCGTAGTGACTTATCAAACTCATTTTAAAGATGTTTTCAGCCATTTTAGCTCCTTAAGTTGTAGACACTTTTTAAAGGATCCATTGATTGTGCACACGTTCAATCGAAATATGTTGACAGTTTTTTGAATTCGTGAGACAAATACACATACTTTTTTGTCACATTTATTTCCATTTATGTGTGACACTACACACAGTGTAGAGTTGTGGAACCCTTCTGTAGAAAAAATTGTGACAACAGTACGAGGGTGGTTTTAATTTCATGTGACTTGTTTACCAAAGGCAGGCATGAATGTAGAGATCACTTATTGCTTGATGGTTCTCTATTTTCATGCACTTGAATGTGATTTTTTTGTTTCATAGTTATCATGTTCCATGAAGATCTATTTTGTTTGTACTTGAGAATTATAGTGTATCACATGTCATTTGCTCTAAATGTTTACAGTACACAAACAAACAACTTGTTTTTCTTTTTAAAAAAAAAAATTTAAGCTATATGGAATGACTCAAAGAAACAATAAAATTTGGTGTTGCAGAGTCTGCAATTTATTACGTCCTAATAAATATATATGATACGCATAAACTACTTGATATAGATTTTTTTTTTTTACTTTAAATTTTTGTTTCTTACTTAAATCTACTCTATTTTGGAAATGAAAAATATCTCGTTTTTTTTTTAAATTAATCTGAATAAGATCGGTTAAAACAGAATTTAATTACATCATATATTTGTACGGGTTATTATTTAAGTTATTTTATATTTTTTATTATTAGTTAGAAAAATTTATTAACTTTATTAATAGTGTGGTGTAGGAAAATATTTTATTAATAGTGTTTTTATCATTTTTATAGACATTACTTAAAGTAATATTTTATGAAACATTAGTTTGTAACTTCTAATTTTTTGTATTTATTTTTACTTAACTATTAAATTTTCTAACTATATAAGATTTTATCGCATTTTCTTTTTACATTTTGCACTTATAAAGTAAAAGTCCATTTTTTGCCTTTTGAATTTATTTATCACTATTTTCAAAAAAATTTATATTATAAATTTATTTTAACCGATATATTATCTACAATATTTGATTATTCTAACATTAAGCTTCAAGATAGTGGTATTGATAAATTATACTAATTTGTATTATACTATTTTCTTAACAATTATATTAGTTAATGTAAAGAAGATATGATATTTACTTAAAAGTATGTCTTTTATTTTGTCTTAAATTTTATTGAAAATATTCAAAATATACTATAAGATGAAGAGTAAACTAAACAATATGAATTAAAAAAAAAATTTAAAAAATATATAATTAAATTCATTTATCAATAAAAATGTAATTAAAATAATTAAAGAAAAAACTATAAAGGTTGAAATTAATTAAAAAATAAAATTATAAAAATCTTAACATATATTTTTATTGATAAAATATAAAATTCTAAAAATATCATATCAACATATTTATTTCTTTCAAATTAAATTATCATATACTTTAAAATATAATTTCATTAAATGCGTATAATTTAGAAAGTCAACTTAACATCTTTTAATTACCGACTACCAAATTATATAGTATTTACTAAAATAAAATTATCTATAATTAAAATTTAAAATACTTACGATTTCTCTCTCAGTTTTTATCCTTTCTCTTTCAACCAAACAGGAAAATATCTTTTGGACAATTTAATAAGTGAAATTTTTAAATAATATTAACTAAAGAAAAATTGACATTAAATGTAATATATATATATATATATATATATATATATATATTGTATCACTATTTTTAGATATTTTATAATTAAATTTTAAAAAAATTGTATTATACAATTTTAAATATAAACCAAAGGATAAGAATAATAAATAATAAATATTGTATTATATTTAATGTCATCTCATGATAAAAAATATATAGAGAGAACTCTCTTCTACAAATAATATTGCAATATTAAATGACACAATTTAAATTTAACTGAAATTTAAAAAATTATTCATAAAAGATAATATTTTCATTTATATTACTACAACAGCCATTACTTAGTGCATTTCACTAGTTTGAATATATTCAAACTGAAAAACATATATTTTAATGATTTAGTTTCATCTTTATTCCGATAGTTTTAACCGCAAAATAAAGAGACACTTGATTGTTTTTTTTAGTTTTTTTTTTTTTAATTCACCTCAGCGCAGTAAAATAACAAAAAGAAAAAGTAAATATTTGGTGAAAATTACACGAACCCTAATTCTTAATATAAACATTCTCACACATCATTTTGTGATATTTTGTCTATTACTTTTCTAATAATTTCTAATAATCAGGATACCGTCTTCTACTCTCCTGAACTTTTCGCTCAATTTATTTTTAATCGATCCTTATATCATGTTCATCTCCTAATTATTGGGTATATATATTTTGTTTGTGATTTTTTTTATCAGAAACCTATCTGGATAATGTTATTTATAGAATAAATAATATATTATTAATAAATAATAAAAAATATATAAAAAAATGATAAATATAAAATAATTTGTATTATATTTAATTATTTATTTTAATATATATATGAAAAAAATATTAAATTATAAATATATAAATAAATATATTTAATAATTATAAAATTAGAAACTTAAAATAATAAATATAGAAGTAAATTACAGAGAATCGTCACCGCGTTGCATCCTAAGAAGCCCAGTACAGCTTTCAACCTATATAAAGCGTCTACTAAGACTATTAAATGTGTGTTCCTAAGATATTGTTATGTTTATAAAGAATATAAATTTTATTCTCTAAAGATTAAAATTTACTAAATATATAATTTTTTTATATTACATAACTTAAAAATATACCTTATTTCTCATAATCTCTACATGACATAATTTATGCATAACAATTTTTTCTTTTTTAAATATTTTCTCATGATACATTATTATTGATAAGTGGTAAATCACCTTTTATTTCTTTAAAATTATAGTCGTCCAAAGAGTATGACTGAATCAAATGTGATGCTAAATGGAAGTGAAAAAGTTGATAACTCAAGTTATAATTTTTATTTTATTTTATTTTTATATTAGGTTAACATATTATGGATAATTTTTGTTTAATTGAATATTAAAAAAATAATTATTAATATGATTATACTAAAATAACTAATTTAAAAAAATTAAATTATATTAATAAAATTAATTTTTTAAATATAATTAATATATAGATTATAAAAAAAATAGATTATTTAATATAAAATAAAAATAAAAAATTTACTTTTCGATATTATTATTATTTTTTAATAATTTATTATATTAAATAATAATAATCTTAATCATTAAATTTTAAAATAAGTGGTTATTAAAGAATTATTTTAATATTTATTTTTAAATAAATGATTTTTTTATTGTATTACTTTATTATATATTTTTTTAATAAAATAATTTTATTTTTATTTAAAAAATTATTATTATTATTATTAAAATAAATTATTTTTATTTTTAAATAAATGAATTTTTTATTGTATTAATTTATTATATATTTTTTTTAATAAAATAATTTTATTTTTATTTAAAATTTATTATTATTATTAAACTATAAATTATTTGATCTTAATTCTTGTAAGTCATGATTAAACTAAACAAGTCAAAATAAATCTTATTTAATTTAAATTATAAAATTCTTTATTTAATATGATTTATTTATCTAATTTTTTAGATTGATCTATTGCATTAAACTTATTTTAATACTTTTATCCAAAATTAAGTCATTTGTATTTGAAGTGTTACTTGATTCATGTTTTTCATCATCAATAAATGGATCTTAATGATGCTAATTAAGAATAACGCATTAGAAAATACATACAATCTATTTAGAGTATTCATCTTATTTATAATTTTGTAAGTTAGGATTGTTTATATAATATTATTCTTTTATTTCATATGTATCTTCATTTACTATTTCAATAAGTGTTCAATAATCACTCAATCATCTTAAATAACAACAAATCATGATTATTGAAATTAGGCTTCAGTAATGGTCCAAGAGATTTAGTTTCTCTTCCTCTCAGAAAGAAACCTATTGGTTGCAAATGAGTTTGTTAGTGAAATTGGATTTATTGGAGAAGTTAATTGTCTTAAAGGCAACTTAATAATTAAGGGACATAATATGACCTGTATTGTCACAATACTTGCCTAAATAATTACACTTTGATTTTCTATTATTACAGTAGTCATTTGACAATGTCCTCACATTTTTTTTATGATAAACTACACTATAATACATGGAAATTTCAGGTTTGTTACTTAAAAGATAAAATAAATAATTAAAATTAAATAATGACTATAATAATACATATTAATCATTAAGTTATGTTATGATAAAATAAATAATAATTATATATTCTATAATTATTTTTCTTATTAGATCCCTCCACATACGCATATATATATATATATATATATAAAAAGGGGAAAGAGATTCATTTATTCATAAAATAAAGAGAGTTA